GTTCGAGGTACCTAATTTTCGCGACACGGTGGAATCTCACTATAGATTCAATGTGTTAACATTTTACCGGAATTGTTCGAGGTACCTAATTTTCGCGACACGGTGGAATCTCACTATCGATTCCGATGTGTTTACATTTTACCGGAATTGCTCGAGGTACCTAATTTTCGCGACACGGTGGAATCTCACTATCAATTCCAATGTGTTTACATTTTACCGGAATTGTTCGAGGTACCTAATTTTCGCGACACGGTGGAATCTCACTATCGATTCCAATGTGTTTACATTTTACCGGAATTGTTCAAGGTACCTAATTTTCGCGACACGGTGGAATCTCACTATCGATTCCAATGTGTTTACATTTTACCGGAATTGTTCGAGGTACCTAATTTTCGCGACACGGTGGAATCTCACAATTGATTCAATGTGTTAACATTTTACCGGAATTGTTCGAGGTACCTAATTTTCGCGACACGGTGGAATCTCACTATAGATTCAATGTGTTAACATTTTACCGGAATTGTTCGAGGTACCTAATTTTCGCGACACGGTGGAATCTCACTATCAATTCCAATGTGTTTACATTTTACCGGAATTGTTCGAGGTACCTAATTTTCGCGACACGGTGGAATCTCACTATCGATTCCAATGTGTTTACATTTTACCGGAATTGTTCAAGGTACCTAATTTTCGCGACACGGTGGAATCTCACTATCGATTCCAATGTGTTTACATTTTACCGGAATTGTTCGAGGTACCTAATTTTCGCGACACGGTGGAATCTCACTATCGATTCCAATGTGTTTACATTTTACCGGAATTGTTGGAGGTACCTAATTTTCGCGACACGGTGGAATCTCACTATCGATTCCAATGTGTTAACATTTTACCGGAATTGTTCGAGGTACCTAATTTTCGCGACACGGTGGGATCTCACTATCGATTCCGATGTGTTTACATTTTACCGGAATTGTTCGAGGTACCTAATTTTCGCGACACGGTGGAATCTCACTATCAATTCCAATGTGTTTACATTTTACCGGAATTGTTCGAGGTACCTACTTTTCGCGACACGGTGGAATCTCACTATCGATTCCAATGTGTTTACATTTTACCGGAATTGGTCAAGGTACCTAATTTTCGCGACACGGTGGAATCTCACTATCGATTCCAATGTGTTTACATTTTACCGGAATTGTTCGAGGTACCTAATTTTCGCGACACGGTGGAATCTCACTATAGATTCAATGTGTTAATATTTTACCGGAATTGTTCGAGGTACCTAATTTTCGCGACACGGTGGAATCTCACTATCGATTCCAATGTGTTTACATTTTACCGGAATTGTTCGAGGTACCTAATTTTCGCGACATGGTGGAATCTCACTATAGATTCAATGTGTTTACATTTTACCGGAATTGTTCGAGGTACCTAATTTTCGCGACACGGTGGAATCTCACTATCGATTCCAATGTGTTTACATTTTACCGGAATTGTTCGAGGTACCTAATTTTCGCGACACGGTGGAATCTCACTATCGATTCCAATGTGTTTACATTTTACCGGAATTGTTCGAGGTACCTAATTTTCGCGACACGGTGGAATCTCACTATCGATTCCAATGTGTTTACATTTTACCGGAATTGTTCGAGGTACCTAATTTTCGCGACACGGTGGAATCTCACTATAGATTCAATGTGTTTACATTTTACCGGAATTGTTCGAGGTACCTAATTTTCGCGACACGGTGGAATCTCACTATCGATTCCAATGTGTTTACATTTTACCGGAATTGTTCGAGGTACCTAATTTTCGCGACACGGTGGAATCTCACTATCGATTCCAATGTGTTTACATTTTACCGGAATTGTTCAAGGTACCTAATTTTCGCGACACGGTGGAATCTCACTATCGATTCCAATGTGTTTACATTTTACCGGAATTGTTCGAGGTACCTAATTTTCGCGACACGGTGGAATCTCACTATAGATTCAATGTGTTTACATTTTACCGGAATTGTTCGAGGTACCTAATTTTCGCGACACGGTGGAATCTCACTATCGATTCCAATGTGTTTACATTTTACCGGAATTGTTCGAGGTACCTAATTTTCGCGACACGGTGGAATCTCACTGTAGATTCAATGTGTTTACATTTTACCGGAATTGTTCAAGGTACCTAATTTTCGCGACACGGTGGAATCTCACTATAGATTCAATGTGTTTACATTTTACCGGCATTGTTCGAGGTACCTAATTTTCGCGACACGGTGGAATCTCACTATCGATTCCAATGTGTTTACATTTTACCGGAATTGTTCGAGGTACCTAATTTTCGCGACACGGTGGAATCTCACTATCGATTCCGATGTGTTTACATTTTACCGGAATTGTTCGAGGTACCTAATTTTCGCGACACGGTGGAATCTCACTATAGATTCAATGTGTTTACATTTTACCGGAATTGTTTGAGGGACCTAATTTTTGCGACACGGTGGGATCTCACTATAGATTCCAATGTGTTTACATTTTACCGGAATTGTTCGAGGGACCCATTTTTCCCAATTTGTAGGCGATTCGCAAAAATTAAGTCGTTTACAGTATTTACATTTCTATCACACTCGAAGGGCAACGTAGGGCGTGTTTGGAGCAATCCTAGCTAAGAGCAGCGACTGATTTTTGTGTGCATCTTTTTTTTTCTACGCGATTCTCGCGACTGGTTCAGCCCTTTCACATAAAAGTGAAGCCTTGTTAAAACGTAAAACTTTACCAATGCTGCCTTGAGCACACTTGCATGTTGGCTGCAGCCTATGGTATGGCGGAAGCGGGATTCCACCAGCAACATAATATCGACAATGCTGTTGCTGCACAGCTTCGTTTTACTGAAAAAGGAAGTAAAAATATCCTCCAGTTTCTTCACGGCGAGGAAGAGAGCGTGGGAAGGATGCAAAAGCCCACCTTTGTCGCAAATTTTCGTAAACCCGCAGTTTTCCTCGTCGGAAGAGCTCCCCAAAAAAAGGCTGCGGCACTCTGAACAATTGCTGCGGGCAAGGAACCTGCGAGCTACATACCCTGCCATGTAATGTATTAACCGGGAATCACTTTTTTGCTCTACGTATGCTTTGTGTTCGCTAGGAACGCTACGGAGCATGCACTCTGCGGACCCCAAGTTTCACGCCTCAATCTGTTTGTTGATTTCGGCAACTTTGGCTTCTGCAGTTGAGCCATCAGATGCATTGAGCAAAGAACTGACATCTTCATTGACTTCGGCGTTGCCCGAGCTTGCTACTTTTGCCAAATTATAAAAAGACAGGCAGTTGACAATAATTAAGAATTGCGTTGGCGTTGGATGGTCGTTGGAGCCACTAGATTGTCTGACAATCCCAAATAAATTTTCAAGGGGATCCTGACTTAACCGAGATGTCATGAGGTAACTGAAACCGTGTGTTGTGAGGTAATCTAAGAGAGCTAAAGTGCTGGATACTGTGACCCTAAGGCCATCTGCTGTGGAGTCGCTCAAAAATCCCCCCACTCCTTTTGCATGGGACTCCCAAGAAGACAAAAAATCAAGAAATTCCTTCAAGAACTCCACTTCTTTGGATCTGGACGCAGAGCTTTTGCTGTGAAGCGGGAAGTCATGATCTTGATCAGGTTGTTGATGGTTCTGAAAGAATACAAATAGACTCATACAGTTTGCTAGCACTTCCCATTGTCGATACAAGTCAAAACTGCTGCGATAGACAAATTAAATTTTCATGCTCTGCTCAGTAAAAATTAAAAATATTATACCGGAATGTAAACAGAGGCTACAGACTTAACAAATACAAATTTTCTCTCAGGTAGTCCTTCAAAGGTACTTAGCACGTGTTTTCATTATTTCTCCGACGGGTTCATTAGGTCAAAGGGCAGCAAACTAACTGATTAGCAGGTTTCTGCTTACCTAAAGAAGGACAATGTTGCATCGAAGCTGCTGCACGAGGACTCTAGCTCATCCTGGAAGAACTGGAGTCCGTTGATGACACGGTCTCCGAAGAGTTGGAAGGCGAAGGACACCCTCCTTTTTTCAAATCCATTTGGTTGAAGGTGGACAGATGTAAGACCGGGCATCGCCTTCAGGGTAACATTGCTTGAGTCTTTCTTGAATGCTTCCCTTACAGGCCGCATGGAGACCTGAAACAGTAGCCGTAACATATTGCATCCATATTGCCTTTTTCACATAAAGACATGCGTGTTTAAGCACGAGTATATAAATGCTTTTGATAATAGCTTTTATGAAATGACTCTGCATCGGCACAGCAAGAAACGCGAGATCAGAAAGAGCAAAATTGCAAAGTGCTTGTTTTGTTACGAAGTAATAACACATACCATTCCATCCGGGGTGTTCAATGGATACTTGAGGAGCGTATTCCTGAGGCACTTGAGTAAATGAGGAAAATCTGACAGGAAATGGAGATGCCGAGATGAATCAACAGGGTGCTCAAGCTTGCAGGTAACTTTCCCTGACTTAACGCCGATTCCCAAGATTTTCCACATTCGACGGTTCCATGAAGCACCGTCTGAAGTGAGGAAATCAACAATGAGTCCGCTTGCTTCAGCCAGGATTGTAGCCTCTATTAGAACTTTTGCAAGCTCCTCTGCCTTGGCATTTCCATTGGTGGCAAACGCACCTATAATTTGAGTCCATTTACCAGTGAAAGGGACGAACATGATGATCATGCCATGGTCACAGACAACATTCTGCCCCTCAGTCATAGTAGGTCCCATGTCAACGAAGCCTTCAATGTGTCCAGAAGGTGTTACAGTGAGGTGCTCAGAAAGTTTGATCTCATCCACTAAAAGGCCACCACGTCTTTTAAAGCTACTGATGTGCCTCGTTTTCTGCTTTAGTTGTTTCAGCACCTTGTGATTGAAACCATACCCGCTCTTGTAGATTCTGAGGTAGCGCTTCAAGGTACTTTTGCTTGGTAGGGAAATGATGTCGTGTTTGCGAGGATGTTCATACAGCTTGGCACTTTTCATTTTCATCATGATACATTCCAGAACCCAGTCCTTTGAGTAGGTGTTTCCCTTCGAGCTTCTCTTCTTTGCTGCTGAAAAACACTGCCTAACGCATTCTTGCTGCTTGGGAGGCAAGGTTGCAATCTCTGCCTGTAGTACTTCGTCAGGTTTTGAGGCATTATCATCTTGCATTTGCTTGAGCTGGGCTTGGAGGTTAGCATTGCGAGACAACAGTCTTCGGTTCTTTTGCGCAGCCGCACGGAGCTTCTGAGTGATGCTTCGGACGTGCTTCTTGACTGATCGCTGAACCCTTGACCGCCGTGTTAGAAGCGCCTTTCTCAGGTATCGGCAGGAGATGCATGCTTGTCCTGTGAAGAAAAAAAGAAAACATTTAAAATTGAAACCAAAAACATCTTTCAGCTTAAATAACAATGCATCAGACATCGCAATTTACTATGTTCGATTTGACAAAGACGATGTTGGCATGACATTCTTAATTCTTCCCAAGTGGCACTGATACACACCTTCAGTTGGTTCTTTTCCTGTGCAGCGGTTCCTGAAGTATGTGCCCTCACGGGTGACCACTTGCCCCTCAAGGCCCTTTGTAAGGTAGGATCTTGGCACGTCGCTCGTCGGCACGGCACCTCCACAGAGACGATACGAGTCGACGTCTCGGAGAAGAACCTCCGCTTCCTCGCAGCTGACGACGCGTCCTCCTTCAGCCATGCGGCCACAAAGATGAACAGTGTATACAACTCCAGGCCTGCTGTCTCGTGAAAAAATAACTACTCTCTCGGATAAAACTTCATTGTCACACATTTTAAGTTTACAATACACGAGACCACTGAGGCTCGGAACTCGGTGACAGCTCCAGTACTCGGAGGGGACACACAGCTTGGAGTATTCTTCGGGCATACAGGCTTCATCAGCTTCATCAAACGCCCCAGTATCGGCTGCAACCGGTGTGGTGCTGCCAGTGCTGCTGCAGGCAGTTGGAGAGGCAGTGTTTTGCTTTTTTTTACCGTCAACTGAGGAAGCATCGGCGTTCTTTCGCTTTCTCGGGGGCCTCGGCTGCGACGTTTTCTTTGACAGGTAGCTCGGAGCATTCGGCAGCAACGTCGGCACAGCGCCAGGCAAGAGCTGCGGCTTTCCGCGCGGAATGCGCACCTCTTCTCCGTTTACAACGTGAACGTAGTCTCGCGTTATAAACGATGGCTCAAAATGAAGCTCACACACCGAACACGTTTCGTCGAGGAGCTTATCCTTGCGATGCAAGTTCCGTTCCTAAAGTTTTCTTTGTTCTTCCTCCTTGGGTACTGAGAACAGCGACGGCTGCTCACCTTTCCGCCATTGATAGCCTGTCTGGCACCCCGGAGCGAAGCAGTGGCGTTGTCGACGTCGATTCGGCATGGTACTTCATTGGACATAAACGACAGCAGACACGGGTAACACGGGGTGAAGAGCGGTTCAAAATGGGGGCAAACTTCGAGCTGCAAACGCTGCAAAATCGACCAAACGCAAGCCGAAGCTGCGCGCTCAGGGCCTCCGGAACGCTCGCAGGCGGTCGGATCCTACAGCCACTACGTCCGCAGCGCCACCGCGTACATCCGGGACCTTTCCACATGCGCCGTTTCACTATGGTGCCTGGATCGCGTCTTTGACTGGTGTGTTTACCGTGGCCAAAAAAGTGGTCTCTTGATTTCCGCCTGATGACGTCATAGAAGTGTCATGCTGTCGCCGGTCGCGACCCTGGTGGCGTTTCAACAGTTATGGTGTATGTAGCAGATGCCTGTTCTGCTGCAGGTCGCTTTCCACTCTGACAGTTCACGGAAGCTAAAGCAGCCGGAAGTTGGGACGCCTAACGGGACGCCGTGACGACAGCGACACTCGCGTTCGCTCGTGCTTTTCGCCAGCATTTCTACGGCCAACCGCCAGGATCGCGACAGGCAACAGCATGACACTCGCGTCATTTGTTGCCACATCGGGACCACTTTTGATGTATGGGCGGTATAGGACGCTAAACACACCAGTCGAAGACGCGCTCCAGGCACCATAGTTTCACAGCAATGCATGGCGCGCCTCGGCGCCTGATCTCACTACCCCTCCTCTAGTTCACTTTACCTCGGCGCTATTTATGTTTCTGTCCTGGCTTGGCTTAGCTTGCTTGAGTCTTTCGGATGGGTGGATATTTGCCATAACGGTACACCTTGTAGTAGGCGATAGCTTGCGCCACCTAGATTGAATGTTGCCAACGGAACTGAATTTCGAAATACTGCGCAAATACAAAACTAATAATAATTTTAGTGCGTCCTGCTTTTATTAAAGAATTGTTTCATTAAAACTATAGTTAAAAGATGTCCTAAACTTACGCAACTACATGTAATAATTTGTATGTGAAATTTAGTTGAGCAGTGAACGTGAACTGTGTATACTACCGCTATTTCATAGGGTGCCTACATGTCTGTCTGTCTCAGGGTGGAGACATCCATTGTTGCCCTGAATATGCCAGCGCGTGACGCTCTCGCGCACTCGGCGCGTGACTTGGGCGGTAAAATGGCGTCTATGCATTAGCCAAAGCTACGCGCTCGAGCTGAGTGACACCGGATTGCACGCACTTCAAAATGCATAAAAAAACGATTGGGCGGGAAAATGGCTGAGATGTCACCACTCAAGCAAAAGCTCGCGTGTGTATGTAGGCACTCTACTATTTCATTCATTTATTTGTTTAAAAACGCCATCAAATTGAGGACGTATATATTACCTCTAGAAGAAAGAGGAAGCTACCGACGAGTTCGGACGCGTTTTCTTGAGCTCCCGCTATTAGGCCTAGTACCTAATACCGATGACCTCAAACACCCCACCGACTTCCAGCTTCTCACCCGCCGCGGCCTTATCCGTGGACGGGAACCTTGAGGAGATGGACACGCGCCCAGCAAGCCAAGCAAGTCCTGCCGCCGCCGCGACGGACCAGCTTCCCACTTCGCTGATCGCACCCGCAAAACGCACCGCGGAGGAGAAACCTTTTCTTGGTGAATCTTCCACAACTACCAATAACGTAGATTCGGCGGAAATCGCGCTGAAGGCTCTATTTGCGGCGATTCCGAGAGAACGCCTCATTGACATCTTTAAGAACTTTCTCGAAGAATCCAGTCCAAACAAACCCAGCAAGGGCAAGAAGAAAAAATCGGACAAGACAAACCCGCCGACGGCGAATTCATCGCCGAACTCAGAAAGTGTTGATATGCCCGAAGCAACAACGCCAGCCCAAGAAACGCCGATCACAGCGGCAAGTCGGCGCCAAGACGCCGATACAACTGCGCTGATGATATTTACAGCTGGCTGTGCGCAAGATGGCGCGGCCGCAACCGAGTGGCAAGGTCCATTGCCCTCAGACGACGAAAAATGGACACCAGTCACCTAGAAGAGAAGAAAGCGGGTACGAGTAGACCCCTCACTCCAAGCCCACGGAACGGTACGGCCCCGACAGCGCCTGTTCGAGTACAAGGTTCGCCCTACGAACTCTCAAGTCTCGATAAAGCCTTACCTTCAACCACTCAAGACGCAATGCACCATGCTGCGCACTACAGCCTCGTTCTTGATGCACCTCGTCGAGCAAGCCAACACCATTTCGGTCCGTACGGACACGGAGGAGCTGGCAAAAATGCTGAGTGAGATTACAGAAATCAAAGTGCAGCGGCGCGAAGCACTTCCGGTACAAGTCTTCCGCACGTTTGGCACGTCATACACCAAAGGTATCATCCATGATATCTACACTAAAGAGCAGGACCCGCGCGACGAAGTCCTCAACCGCGAACTCGAATCGGAGAAGGTCGACATCGTGGCCGCCCGTCGGCTAGGCAAGTCGAATACGGCTGTCATCACATTCGACGGAGAGAGACTACCGAGGTCGATCTTCTACGGCAAGCGCTACATGAGGGTATTTCCACACAATCCAAAGGCTGTTACGTGCCGTAACTGCCACAGGCTGGGCCTCAAACCTGACATCTGCCCGAATCAGGCGGTGTGCCCGACCTGTGGAAGTTCTCACCTAGCCGACACTGACCCCGCCAAGGGACCAGGATGTACGGACTCTACTCCCTACTGCCAGGGGTGCAAGAAGAAAGGCCATCTGGGTACCGATCGCAAATGCCCAACGTGGTCGGCAACGAGCAAGCGGATGCGGGAGGACATCCAGAAATTTAAAAAACGACACCGACTCCAACAGCCGTCGGAGAACACAGAAATAGTAAAAAATACTACGAAAACACAGAGCGGCACTTTATGGGCTGACAAGGTGAAGCAGAACATCTAAGCACCCCCACCGGCCCCCCTTGAAGGGTCAGAAACACAAGAGCTTCGCAACATGTGCAGCTACCTCAAAGCTGAACTCGACAGACTTAAAGCCACAGTCCAGTCCCAGCAAGAGGAAATTAAGCAATACAGGGAAACTGCTAACCGGCAAAAGGCGCTAGCAGCCCAAATCCTCAACGAAAAATGATCAGAGTTCTTCAGTGGAACTGTCAGGGGCTCCGCAAGCGGGCAGCGGAGCTCCGAGTACGCCCTCTGGATAAGCCTGACGAACGCCCTGACGTACTGTTACTTCAGGAAACGAACACCACAGCCGTCAATCTTTATGGATACCTGGTATACTCCAGTCCCTCCATAACTACCAAACGCCCTAGAGAAACGACTTCTCCTCCAGGGAAGGCTCTTGTCTACGTGAGGGACGACTGGCCTCAGCACCAAGTCGACCTCACCCCGTACTCCAACGATGGGCAGGAAATCGTGGCGGTGCGGATCCAGGTCCAGCAGCACCACATCGTCCTAGCATCCATTTACTACAGACCGTTCAAGTCCGCGACACAACAAAGAACCAACCTATGGATCTCCCATATTCACGATCTTTACCCCAAAGAACAAAATCTCTACGGAGGAGACTTTAATCTCCACCACCCTATGTGGGGATATAACCATGAATCTCCGGGTGCGAAAGACTTAGTGGGCGAGATGCATACCTTCCGCTTAAACCTGGTCAACAAGAAAGGTGTCAAAACAAGACTAGGAGGTTCCGGGCAGTCGGATACCACACCCGACCTCACTTGGACCACGAACCCATACATTCAACACCACAAGTGGAAATGCCTACCGGATACGTGGGGTAGCGACCACTTCCCCATCCTCTTCGAGTTCTCGCCAACGAGACGGGTAAAGGACAAGGTTAAAAAAATGAAAGCCGCTTACAACTCCCTGTAACGCCGAATTAGAGCGCAGCTCTTGAGGAGGAGGAGGGAAGGGCACTGGGGGGGGGGGTTAAACTAACCAAAGGGGGTCACGTTACCTTGGGGGTCACGTGACCCCCAATGCCGATGATGTCATCACTGACGTCACTGATGACGTCATCAGTGACGATGACGATGCGGGTACCGATGACGTCATTAGTGACGTCACTGATGACTTCACCAGTGATGATGACGATGACGATGCGAATGTCGGTGACGTCATCAGTGACGTCGCTGATGACGTCATCAGTGATGATGACGATGACGATGCGGATGCCGGTGACGACATCAGTGACGTCACTGATGACGTCATCAGTGATGATGACGATGACAATGCGGATGTCGGTGACGTCATCAGTGATGATGACGATGACGATGTGGATGCCGGTGACGTCATCAGTGATGATGACGATGACGATGTGGATGCCGGTGACGTCATCAGTGATGATGACGATGACGATGTGGATGCCGGTGACGTCATCAGTGATGATGACGATGACGATGCGGATGCCGGTGACGTCATCAGTGATGATGACGATGACGATGTGGATGCCGGTGACGTCATCAGTGATGATGACGATGACGATGTGGATGCCGGTGACGTCATCAGTGATGATGACGATGACGATGCGGATGCCGGTGACGTCATCAGTGATGACGATGACGATGTGGATGCCGGTGACGTCATCAGTGATGATGACGATGACGATGTGGATGCCGGTGACGTCATCAGTGATGATGACGATGACGATGTGGATGCCGGTGACGTCATCAGTGACGATGACGTCATCGGGGGGTCACGCGACATCGGCGGGGGTCACGTGACCTCGAGGAGGGGGCCACGTGACCTCAGGGGAGTCACGTGACTTCGGGGGGTCACGTGACCCCCCACGAGGTCACGTGACCTTGGTGGGGGGCTCGCGCGGTGCATTATGGGACATTTCCCATGATGCACCGCGCGGTTACGCCGACGGCGACGGCGACGGCGACGGCAACGGCGACGCCGACGCCGACGGCGACGCCGCTCAAGCCGGAAACGGGCCCCTAAGAGCTGCGCTCTAAAACGCACAGCGAACATTGTACACTGGGGCAAATTTAGGGAAGCCCTTAACAGCGAGGAACTTGAAGACGCTGACTTTGAATCGCGCCTCAACAGCGCCCTGAGGACTGCAACCATCAGAAAGGACATCGGTGAAGATACTCCAACACCCGATCTCCACCTTCTCAAGCTGTGGGCCAAGCGGCTGCAAAAGATACAAAAGTACCGTAAAGGGCCGAAAAGCACCGAAGCCAGACTCAACATCACCAGGGCTACGGTGGAAGCGAAGGTTTACGCACAAAAACTCGAC